TTTTGTTCTAAATAAATACACTTATCTAAATAAGTGCATTTCTATCAATCATGCTAAATAAGCCCAAAATCAATTGCTCCTTGTTCCACTACCCAAAATAAAATGAAAAATATGTGATATTTGATTTGGGTCCCACCCAATGTCACTGGTGGACGTGGCAAATGGGCGAATCAAAACGATTATACATTTAAACCAATTCAATACAAATTCGCATATTTAATAAATGGATTTAAATGGGATGAGTTTGGTTGAATTTGATACAGGGTGAACAAATGAATCAATCCAACCCATTTCCTTCATCTCTTTTATTTTCTAAAAAATAAAAAATATTTTTTTACTTTTTTAAAAATAATTTTTTATTTATTTTTTAAAAATGTTTTATTTTTTTTGATTTTTTTTAAAAGTACTTTTCTATTTTTATATTTTTCTAAGAAAAAAATTATTTTTAAAAAAAAAATTAGAATTGGTGATAGAAGTAATACCCATTTACACAAGTTTAAATGGGTACCCATGCCCAACCCATGTACACCAAGATTTAATTAGATTGAGGCCTCGTTTGGGAACAGGTTAATTTAGTAATTTTTTGACTATTTGGCTAAAATATAAGCTAAAAAAAACTAGTATATTTGTGATGACTTTTTGACTTTTTACGAAAAGATGTGCAAAAAGTAGAGAGAATAAAATCTTTGACTTTTTAGTATGAGTTGTTGGCTTTTTAACTAATTTAGTAATTTTTTGAATTTTTGACTAAAAAAGAGAGTTCCCAAACGAGGCCTGACAATAAGTAACCCATTTAAATCCATTTATTGATTTGAACCGACTAATATAAATTTTAAAGAGTAATGCCAAATATTTTACTAAATGTCTCACGTGATGTGAGATCCACATCATGTGAAATATTTGGTAAAATATTTAATAAAATATTTGAGATCTTTAGTATTTTTCAATTTTAGATAGGTATACAGGTTCATAGGTTTGTATTAGATTTGTCACCTCTAGTCACAGATTTTTGTTCAAATATATATCTAGTATATAATATATATACTATTATTATTAGTATATATATATATATATATATATATATATTATTAGTATTTGCATGGGGTTTTAGGAAGGTGACCAAACTTGTGTTTTCTCCCGACTTCGCCCAACCACATCTCATCAAACTCCCATTAGTCTTTCCTAATCTGTTGATTCTATCAACAATTTTTACTCTATAAATACCATCTATCCAAATTGATCCATAAACAGAGAAAAACTTGAAACATACAAGAACTCACCCATATTCAAGAGTAGCTCTATCAAACAATGGCCTCCTTTTATCCTCGTTTAGCTCTCTCTCTGATAATGGCGTTATCACTTTCCAGCATCCATATCACTCTCGCAGCTCGGACCCTTCTGCAAACAGTCCCTGCAATTCCATCTCTGCCTAAAGGGGGGTTGCCTCCATTGCCCACCATGCCAACCATTCCCCCAGCCATATTGCCCCCATTACCAACAGCCCCAACCTTGCCAAAGCCCACGTTCCCACCTTTGCCCAGCACCCAAATTCCATCAACTTTGCCCAATCCGACCATGCCCACCATTCCTTCGCTCACTCTACCACCGCTGCCAGCTACTTCACTGCCCACCATCCCGACAATTCCTTCAATCCCAACCATTCCAACAACAATTCCGATAATTCCTTTCTTCTCACCACCACCATCGAAGTAAGCCCCAGAGACACTACCACCATCACTCATCTTTCTCCACAAACACTAGATATCAAATGAAAGCCTACTAGAGATTTTAAATTTGCTTATGTTTATGCAGTTTGAGTCAGTTCGTGTGTCTTTGTTGTATTTATAAGTGTGAGGTTTCGATTTTATAGATTTGTGGTGTCGCTTTGTATCATTTCATTGTATTGCTTCTTATGATCTACATGAATAAATTATTTCTTTTTCATTTATTAACTAATATCTCCAGCATTCATAGCATTGAGGACAGAATTTCAACGAAAAAAAAAAAAAGTAGCATAACAAAGGGAACAGACCAAATTATGTCACAACGATTCGGTCTGTACCATTGTCACCTGACAATATGTTTTGAAATATGCACACTTCAGAAAGGCCATACAAGGGTCTTTCACTTAGTTATGTCAGCTCCCTGCCCACTCACGCTCCTTAAGCGGTTTGCCAGAACACACACCATAGGTTAGTCCAACTAACAGTTGGTTCCTCACCGCTGCACATTAGCACAAAAAAGGGAGCTGAATCTAGCAAATCTAAATTGAGCCCAAATTTTTTTTCCACAAGTCCTCTAGGTTGGGGTTGCAAAGTGGAAGAAAAGAAACGAGAAGTCAGATGTGAACTCCACATTTTACCTGTAGCCATAGCCAGAATTGATTAATATTATATTCCTTGGACACAATTTCTTAAGACTTGGAATTCCCTATACTACAAGATTTTAAATCCCACATAATATGGACACACAAATTTGCAGAAATTTCAAGCTAATGACAGATTGTTACTCAAAAGCTTTGGATTATTCATATGTTCTGCATGCTACAAGATTTTTTATGATCATCAAGCATGCAGAAGTAGAACTAAGGAAAAAATATACTTACAATTCTATAGAATATATGAGGAATGCTGAATACTACTCAAAAGTTCACTACTAAAATATCATCTTACTCTTGTTGGTTCTCGCAAGTTATCAATATCCTTCAACAATTGTTCGCTATTTCCAACATTCTAATGATAGAAGTTTATTAAACCTCATTTCTTCAATTAACTCCTAAATTTCAATTCAATAACTGAGCAATATAATATCTCAAGTCTTGATATGAGAGACTCATAGATCTGCTGCATTCTTTGCTTCCATAGCCAACTATGAAGTTGCCCCCCAACTGTCCAAGCTTTGGTTTCTGGAAAATACATAGTATTGAACTTCTTGTTAAAAATTAATGGTTGGAAAAAGGTACTTTTGAGTTTAGTAGTCATTCTTTATATCAAGCCAGGTGCTTACAAGGCTATATCAAAATTTGCAAAAGTGCTCTTCAATAGGCTTCAAATACTTACCACGAATCAATCATTCCCAAAATACTCAACTTGGACAGGGAAGCAACCCATTTGGAGTGGCACTGTTAATTCTGTACGTTACATTCGCAAAACCAAGAGAGATAGGTCAGAAAACATTTTTTTTTTTTTTTTATGAAAGTGCCCCTTTCAAATTGAGTTGTATTGAAATGAATAACTGTAGGGAACAAAACATCTACAATAATTAAGACAATGAAAAACTTAGAAAACTTATAATTTCCCCAAAAGGGAAGAGAAACCTAGACAAGTTGCAATTCAATAGCTTGGCTAGTCCAGTTTTTACTTTTTGTTGATAATCGACACAGATGTTTCAAGCCAAGGTTCCAATCAATTTGCCATTGTTTGCCTTATTTTTTCTGTAAGCTTAAACCAATTCCGACATTAGGAAACTACCTACACTACCAGCATAAAACTAAATCATTCTTATCCTCAGCATACCAGAAGCTTATGTTTCACAAAAATGACTCCTCTATTTATCTAAATTTCAGGGCAAATACTTGGATCTTAACGCATTTATTTTCATATTTTTTGCAGCTTATTCTAAGAAGATAATTGATGATATATAAGCAGAATCTAAAAATGCCACTCCCTACCTTTGGAATAATCAACATTTTTCAATTAATTTAAGTTATTTTCACCGGATCAATTGTAAGCAAAAACTACAACAAACAGTCTCACTGACACATAATCCTAAAATAAAAAGTCATAAGCAGCCCATTTAAGTTGCAGCCAAAAAGCACCACTCCGTTTATTGGATTAGTACCTAAGAGGCATAGACACAGATACGTGACACAACACAGATACAACACAGACACGCTGACATAGAAATTTTCAAAAAATGCAAGATACGACACATATGGGACACGCACAAAATACATAATTTTATATATTTATTATATGTCATATATATGAATATATCATTCCAAAATTGCCATTGTTTTTCTTTTATCATTGTATTCTAAATTATTTTCTTCAAACTTATAATTAGTTTTGTGTGTCTAATTAATGGACATGTGTGTTTAAGCAATTGACACGTGTTCTCCAAGTGTCCCGAGTTTTTTTTTTTTTTTTTTTAAATAAGACACTTTTGGAAAAGTGTCAGACACGTGTCGAGAAGTGTCCAACAAGAACATGCCACCTTTTTAGAAGTGTCTATACTTTTTAGGTTAGTATCCAAAAAAATAAATAAAGACTCAAATAAATGATATTTGATTTGGGTTCCACATAATGTCACTAATAAAATTGTTCCACAGTGTGTCACCATCCCAGGTTACATTATATATATTAGTAGTTGCAGTTTTGAAGGGTGAACAAACCTGAGCTTCTCCAGATTTTGACCAACCATATCTCATCAAACTCTCATTGGTCTTTGCTAATCTGTTGAGCCAATCAACAATTTTGCTATATAAATACCATCTATGCAAGTTGATCCTTAAGCTGAGCACAACTTGTAACAAAGAATTTGCCCATATTCAGAGTAGCCCAGCTCCTTACAAGTTGCACCTTCTTCTGCTCCTGTGAAACAATGGCTGCTTTTCATCGTTGTTTAATTGTATCTTTGATCATGGCTTTGTCATTTTCCAACATCCATATCACCCTGGCAGCTAGGCACCTACTACAAACGGTGCCTGCAATTCCATCTCTGCCTAAAGTCACCTTGCCTCCATTGCCCACCATGCCAACAATTCCCCAAGCCACATTGCCCCCATTACCAACCACTGCTTTGCCAACCTTGCCAAAACCCACGTTGCCGCCTCTGCCCACCACCCAACTTCCATCAACTTTGCCAAATCCAACCCTGCCAACCATGCCCACCGTTCCTACACTCACTCTACCACCACTACCAGCTACTTCACTTCCCACCATTCCTACAATTCCTTCAATACCAACCATTCCAACAATTCCTTCAATCCCAACCATTCCAACAACAATGCCAACAATCCCATTTCTCTCACCACCACCAACGAACTAGGCCCAGAGACGCTACCACTATCATTCATCTTTCTCCACATAGACTAGTTATCGAATGAAGGCCTACTACAGATTCTACAATTGTTCATGTTTGTGCAGTTTGGGTTAGTTTGTGTGTCTTTGTTGTGTTAAAGTGTGAGGTTTCAATTATATAGATTTGTGGTGTCGCTTTGTATCATTTCATTGTATTGCTTCTTAAGATCTACATTAATACATTTATGTCTTGTTCACTAACGATTATTGATTAATATCTACAGCAACGATAACAGAATTTTGAAGTCAAACTAAAAGAATGAAAAAGTCAAACTAAAAGAACGAAAAAGACAATAGGCTTAGCAAAGGGAACAAACCAATCTTTTTTCCCAAAACGATTCAGTCTATGCGAGTGTTATCTAACAATGTTAATATCTCTAGCAAATAGTATTTTCTTCTATACAACGGTGAAGTTAGTTTCATTGGACTTTTTTTATACATAGCATAATTTTAAAATTAAGATCTGGTTTGCAAGTCAATTAATATAATGACATTTAATGTTAGCTTATATGTTACTTTTGACATTAAATGTGAATTGAAGGTTGGATTTTAACCAACTAAACCATGTAACTCATTTTTCTCTACTCCAAATTTAAAATAAATTTTTTTTTACGAACATACCCAACTCTACTTGCACCCACACCCTACTTTATTAAAATTTTAAACATACTCATACGGTACCAGTACCCGTGCTGCATAGCCGGTAACCATAGCCCAAATTGAATAACATCGTTATTCCTTTCACACAATTTCTAAAAACTTGGTATTTGCTATACTACAAGATTTTAAAACCCACAGAATGTGAACACACAAATTTGCAGAAATTACAAGCTAATGACAATGATAGTTACTCAAAAGCATATGATTGTTCATATGTTCTACGTGCTGCAAGATTTTTATGATCATCAAGTGTCCTCCAGAAGTAGAACTAATGAAAAATCTACTTACAATTCTATAGAATATACAAGGAACACTGAATCCTACTCAAAAGTTCACAAGTAAAATCTCATCAAACTCATTGATTCTTCCAAGTTATCAGAATACCAGCAGCATCAACTTCTTGTTAAAAATTAATGATTGGAAGAAGGTACTTTCGAGTTTAGTAGTCATTCTTTAAATCAAGCCGGGTGCTCACAATTACAAGGCTACATCAAAATTTGCAAAAGCGCTCTTCAATAGACTTCACATACTTACCACAAATCAATCATTTCCAAAATGCTCAACTTGGACAAGGAAGCAACCCGTTTGGAATGGCGCTGTTAATTCTGTGCGCAACATTGCATTAGCAAAACCCGAGAGACAGAGAGAGGTCAGAAAACATTTTTTTTATGAAAGCTCCCCCTTTTTCCTTCATTTTTGTTAACAAAGTCAAAAAGAATTTTTTTAAAAAAATTCATCAGAAGCAAATAAAGAATAATGGAAGTAGTGAGTTGGTAATCACCTTTAGACCGATGTTATGTATTGGTACACACGTTCCGAAACATGGTACACTTCCATTCCAAAACAATAAATTTAGTGGTTCAAGGCGTTCCCAAAAAAAAAATTTCCAATATATTTCCTTAAATATTACTTTAGGAGAAAAAAAATCAAATATAATGAACTAAAATCTAAGACGAGTTAAGTTTTGACAAGACAAAAACATTAGCAATGAAAAGAAAAGGGAAAAAAAAAAAAAAAAAAAAAAAAAAACATTTTATTGAATACCTAATAGTTAAAAGAAATTATTCTAGTACCTTAATTTCATAAGTGTAAAATATACTATTCTACCCTTATCGTACCACATTTTAAAGCATGTGGCGTATCACATTCCCGTTTCTGTTCCACGTATCGGAACGATCCACGTTCCAGGTAACATAGCTTTAGACAAGGTGCAACCAATTTGACTACTTGGAGCAAAGCCTTTTGAATTGAGTTGTATTGAAATGAATACAAAGAAATCACTTCATCCACCACATTTGTCCCCAAATTTCTATCCACCCTTTATATTTTTTTAACTGGAAAACCCTAAAGGCAGTAAAACCACTATGGAAAATATAGTCAATACGGACATAGCATTTTGGCAAGAAAATACCACACTAGCACAAAAGAAACCATAATCACCAAACACGTTTTAAAAATAGCAAAAATAATGATAAGAGGTGTTCTACTACTACGTGCCCATATTCTGCATGATTATTTTAAGGGTCTAACATCCATACACCATAATACCATACCAAACTAAAACCTTTACATTCCAATTAATATGAATCGGCTATATGAATCCTTCTCTATTTCAATTCTAATGGTCTAATAACAAAACATTTACAATAAAGACCAAAAAAACTTAGAAAACTTACAACTTCAAGTTTCCCATAAGGAAAGAGAAACCTAGACAAGCTGCTATCAATAGCTCAGCTAGTCCAGTTTTTACTTTAGACTGTTGAGAATCTACATAGATGGTTCAACCCAAGGTTCCAATCTACTTGCCATTGTATACCTAATTTTGTTCCCTAAACTAAAACCAATTCAGATATTAGTAAACTACCTACCACTACCAGCATAAAACTAACTCTTCCTTATCCTCCGCATACCTGAAGCTCATGTCTCAGAAAAATAACAACTCTATTTATCTGGATTTCAGGTCATATACTTGATTTTAACAGATTTTCATATTTGTTGCAGCTTATTCTAAACTAAAAAAACTAAAATATATAATCAGAATCTAAACAGACACCCCTAGCTTTGGGATAATCAACTTTTCCAGTTAAGCTATTTTCACCGCATAAATTGTAAGCAAAAGCTACAACAAGCAGCCTAAGATTTAATTCTAAAATAAAAGTCATAAACAGTCCATTTAAGTTGCAACAAAAAAGCACCACTCCATTTATTGGATTAGTACCCAAAATAAATACTCAAATAATGATATTTGATTTGGGTCATGTCACTGATAGGATTGTTACACAGTGAGTCACTGTCCCTAGGTTACATTAAATTTATTAGTAGTTGCAGTTTTGGAAGGTGAACAAACCTGTGTTTCTCCAGACTTTGCCCAACCACATCTCATCAAACTCACATTGGTCATTCCTAATCTGTTGACTCTATCAACAATTTTGCTATATATATACTAAGCTGAGAAAAGGTTGCAACATAGAAGAATCCACCAATATTCAAGAGTAGCCCAGTATCTTCCACCTTTTTCTACTCTTAGCAAACAATGGCTTCCTTTCATCCTTGTTTAGCACTTTCTCTGATCATGGCTTTGTCACTTTCCAGCATCCATATCACCCTAGCAGCTCGGACCCTACTGCAAACGGTGCCTGCAATTCCATCTCTGCCTAAAGTCGCGTTGCCTCCATTGCCTTCCGTGCCAACCATTCCCCAAGCCACATTGCCGCCATTACCAAGTACTGCTATGCCGGCACTGCCAGCAGCCCCAACCTTGCCAAAGCCCACATTGCCGCCTTTGCCCAGCACCCAAATTCCATCATCTTTGCCAAATCCAACCGTGCCCGCCATTCCTAAGCTGACTCTACCACCGCTGCCAGCTACTTCACTTCCCACCATCCCTACAATTCCTTCAATCCCAACCATTCCAACAACAATGCCAACAATTCCTTTCTTCTCACCTCCACCATCAAACTAGGCCCAGAGACACTACCACCATCACTCATGTTTCTCCGCATAGACTAGATATTGAACGAAAGCCTGCTAGAGATTATAAATTTGCTCATGTTTGTTCAGTTTGAGTCAGTTCATGTGTCTTTCTTGTATTAAGTGTGAGGTTTCAATTTTATAGATTTGTGGTATCTGCTTTTTATTACTTCATTGTATCTAGGAGTATTGCTTCTAGTGATCTACATGAATACATTTAATTCTTTTTCACTTTGATTACTGATTAATATCTCCAGCATTGATGACAGAATTTTGAAGACCAAACTAAAGAAAGAAAGAAAAAGTAGGCTTGGCAAAGGGAACAGACCATTTTTTTTCCCAAAACCATAGTACCAATGCTAATGACCAAATTATTTATTTTTTCAATAACATATTTTGAAATATGCACACTTCCATTCTAAACAACAGTAAGATATTATACATGCTAACTTCTTCAATCATTAACTATGATGATGCAGTGCAAGTGCAATATTGCATTATAAAATGCCAGCGAAGTTGCAAGATATTCTATTAAAAAAGGCGTTGAAGTAGATAATGACAGTTACTATTCCTAAGTAATTTGGTAAAGTATGTACCTTATTACAACCACCATCACTCTATCTATTCCTGAAGAAACAATGGCCAAATGCATTGGTTTTCCAGCTGTATACCATCATCATTACTCCGGTAGTGATCTCTGACCTAGATTAGAAAAAGCATTCACATTTTGTTACGTTAAGGAAAAACATCACAAAGATGGCCCCATCCAAACATGTTTACCATGCACTCTCCCTTTAATCCATATATGTCTAGCGTAATTTCCAATCCATGTACTTAATAAGTGGAGACATGCCAATCTCACCACCAGAATTTGAGAAAGTTCAGAGACACAAAACAAGTGTATAGAAAACGCACAAAAGAGACACAAGGGGCCACCTCCTTGTGTCTCTTCTGTGCACTTTTTGTACACATTTTTTGTGTCCTTGACAAATCTCTCCCAAAATTTTCACATCTCCAATCCAAACTCTCATGCAAATGACTAAAAACACTTTGCTTCTTCCAACACTGAAGAGCAAAAGTTATAGCCAATTAGTCATTTGGAGTGAATTTTGGTGATGGAACACATATGTTTTTCCTTTTAAGTCCGTGAATATATAAAATATACCATTATATGTACGAATTAAAGGAGCAACTCACTGTAAACATGTTAGCATGAAGTCTTTGCATGTCTCTCTCCCAATTTATATTTGAGGTAACAAATGGACTAACATTTTGTAAAGCAAAAACTAACTTAAAACACTCCTAACATAATATTACAAGATAAATACATACTGAGAAGTATAGACACAGATACACCGATATAGAAGTTGTCACAAAAAAAAAAAAAAAAAATGTAGAAACAGAACACAAATGAGGAACAAATGTAAACTATATATATAATTTTATATATTTCTTATATGCTATATAAGGATAAGCAATTATTATAAATGCAACGAAAAGCTAATTAACTTCTAAAATCTAAAGTAAGAGTATCTGGAACTCATATATAAGAGTGGTGCTACATGTACCAAAACTATACTATACTAACTAGTTTATCAAAACTAGTTATACACTTATTATACAAATTATAAATACAAAAAGATTTACATCATCAATCAATCCACTAGTTCGTACACTAATTTGTGCATATCCATATATAAACTCACACACAATACGAATTAATATACATTTAATGAATGAATTAAAGAAATTACAGTACTGTGATGTTTTATAAAGTAGAACGATCAAAACAGCTAAAGAGACCATGAAATGGAAGAAGAGGAAGGAGGAACCCTAGAGAAATGGAGAAAGCAAAGAATGATTAGATAAGGAGGAAGATGATAATGAAGTTTTGGATCCGAATAAGGTATGTAATGTAATGTAATTGTTACCTCCGGGGAGGAAGAGCTGAGAGTGAGTTTATGAATTTGCTGTTTTTGATGAGAGAGGAGGAGGCTAATCCTCTCCTTGATCGTCGCGAACGCACATGGGCTGTAGTTACTGTTACGGCTGCTGCTGCTGCTAATCCAGCCTCAGCTTCACAATGAAATCGCCACCTGCATTTGGTTCAACTCCCATTTTCTATTTGTTCAAAAACTTAAAAGAAAATTGTTGCAAAAGTACAATCTTGACATTAATTAAGGCCTCATTTGAAAAAGAAAGGTTAGGACCAAATGTTTTCCTCATACTTTTTATTAAGCCGTGGTTTGGTAACACTTACCTTTTTAATTTTTTATTTATATTTATAAAAATTTTAAAAATTTAAATAAAAATTTATTTGGTAAAATTTTTGATTTATAAATCAGTGATCTCAGCTTATAAATTTAGCCAAAAAATAAAAACACAAAAAATATGTTTCTATTTTGAGTTTTCAATTTTTTTTTTTTACCACCCAACACTAACTACCACCCGCCACCATTTTCTACCACCGTCTTCCGCCGCCACCACTCGTCACCACCCACCACTTGTCATTTCTCACTCTTTTTTATATTTTTAAATTTTTTTAAACATTTTGTCTAAACCAAACGCGTTTGTAGTTTATGTTTTTCTAAAAACAAACAAAAAACAAACAAAAACCAGTTTATAAATTTTTTGTAAATATAAACTGAAAACGTAAACGTTACGAAACAGGCCCACAATTTAGACTTGTGTTTATTTTGTTACGCTAATAGATCCCATTTCAATATTAAAGACGGTAACGCCCATGCTTTATGGAATACGTGTGTAAAAGTAAGGGGTAAAAATGGGCCATTGTTTGTGTTGAATTTACCGAAGAGGCCAATATCGAAATGGAGAGTCAGGTTAGAGTGAGTGAAAATGGAAGGTAATTTCTGGATGGGGATTGTGATTTCGATGTTGATGCGATTCCGAATCCGTGATTACATAGATTGTTTGTTAAGATTAGCATTGTTCATGTTAAGACCTTATTTAACGTTTGATTGTCGCGTAGAACCTTAATTTGTGGAAAACCTCATTCATAGAAATACGGTGTTGCCATCATCAGAGTTGGGTCTGATCAGTGTGACGAACAGAAATTGACGTAGAATACGACATATATAGAGCTTTGGCGCCGGTGATCGCCGTGGAAACACATAGCGACAGGTATGTTATTCATGGTTTACTAGTATGTGCATGTTAGTTGACGTTGTGATATGTTCTAATAGATTTATGACGTTGTAACACTGCGTCGTTACATTGATGTTGTTGTATGTGGACCAGTGTCATGGTTTCAGTAAACATTGCAATAGTCCTTTTGTCCTAGGATGGCCCAGTTTTATGGTTTTCTATGTTGGTGATGGACCCTTGCTTTTGGGTGTCTTGGTGATGAGGGTGGAAAATGGTGGGGGTTGATGTTTTATTGGAATGTGGCCAGCAGTTTTGGTGGCTTCTGAAAAAAAGGTACTGGTCGAAGTGGTGTTTTTTAAATGTCAATGTAAATTTAGTCGAATTGGTGTTAGAACAGTTTATAAAATTTTTGTAAATATAAACTGAAAACGTAAACGTTACCAAACACACCCTAAATATTTTATATGGGTGTAAGATTTATATTGAATTTACATGGTGTGATTTTCAAATTTATATAAGGTATTTGTTAAAAATATTAATAAAATATTTAGAATTTTTAATATTTTTTTTTACAAAAAAAATTATTTATTTAGGTCATATTATTTTTTAAATTTTTTTACATATTTTTTTGATAATAAATTAATAAGGAGAAGAAAAAAAAAAAAAAAAGTCACTCTCTAGGCTTGAGTAGTGAATATTTTTTTTATTGATGAAAAGTTCACTATTTGTGAAATAATTATAATTTAGTGAGAAGTTCTTTTATTTATTTTGGAAGATATTTTATTTTTAATTTTATATCTTCATTTATTTATCTATTGACTTTTTTTTTATCTGTTGACTTTCTTTTAACTATTTATTCAAATTTATATTTACCTGTTCAAATTATTTTTTTATGTCTGTTTAAATTTTTAGACTATTTGTTCAAATATTCTTTTATATGTTGAATTTTTTTAACTTATTTGTTGAATTTTTTTTATCTGTTAAATTTTTATAACCTATTTTTTTATCTATTCAAATCCTATATGTTCATCAACAACAATATGTTTATCATCATCAAAATACTACAGGTACTGAACTATAAATTGATATTCTTCTCCTGATCGCAATTTCAGATTCCATAAACTAAAATTTTTGGTTTGGTTAATCAAACTGATCAAAATGGAACTATTTGTATATGTATATATATGTTTGGGCAGCCATTGGAACACAAATCACCAATCCACTATCAGAGACTTCCTCTATTTCTTTCACCCCCATCTCCTCCTCCCTTCGTCGCCGACTGGTGGCATACAATCTGTCATAGTTAGGGACTTAGGTCGGGTTAACTGACAAATCCACATTTGTTGTCTCTAAACACCTCGTGGCCTTGTACGTCTACTCCTTCAGCTCTATTCTCTTCTCCAACCTCGTCGCCTCTGCCTTCAAAATTGACCATCAGGACCGAAGACGACGAGCCTCTGCCCGTTTTGATGGTCAGCAAAACTAGATTGATAGATCTAGAGAGAGAGATCTGGAAAATGTGTGTGTGTGAGAGAGAGAGGAAGTCAGGGAGAGAGTTATCATTCTGTCTTTGTCGAAGATTGAGTGCCATGGTTAAGTGCTGTAGAAAGCTTCGCAGGAGAATTGGGCGTTGTCGCCAACAACACCATGGATGGTCGGTTGAGGAACGTGAAGAGACAAGACGAAATCCTAGCTCTCAAAACATTGAGATCAAAGATGCTTAGGGAGGGAGAGAGAGAGAGAGAGAGAGAGAGATCAGTCATAAGTCAAGACGTCGTAGATCTTGTCGCAGGGGTCAGATAGGCGTCGTAGATCTTGTCGCAGGGGTCAGATAGGGGTTAGGGTTCGGAGAAAGAGAGATAGAGAAAGTGTGTGTGTGTGTGTGAGAGATAGAAAGCGTGAATGATATCCGTATATATACAAGGATATTTTAGTTATTTTATTCAAACTTGTTATTTTGAACAAAATATTGAAAAATATTTCAATTAACATAATTTCTCAATACATTTACTTTATAATTTAATTATTAATTAATTTTTTTAATCTACATGCTAAATGTATCAATTATGCCTTTCACTCGTACCATTGTACACACACATTCAACCATCCTTCCACACACACTACTATTGCTACGGTTTGAAAATTTGTAAACTCATAGTGCTACAATAGTCAAAATGAAAACCCATAGTAAAGAACTTTACTCTATCGAACACCTCCATTCCATTGAAGACCTCCATTGCCAATATCATTGAACAGACTCTATTGAATGATCATTATTATTAGATGTAGTCTTTAAATAAATCGTTGAATGATTGTTTGGGGGAAAAAAATGTTGGAGAGGAAGACACACAACTAATGTGATATTTTCAAAAGATATGAAAATCTACTAAAAATGGTTTTATGGTTTACAAGGAAAAGGGATTTTAAACCACCCACTTGCCCTCTTTCTTTGCATGATAAAAAGAGGAAAGAGGCATTCATCGTGGGTATTACAAAAATAAATAAATAAAGTAAGAGAAGAGTATAGGGAAAAAAAGAAAAGAAAAGGAAAGGAAAAAGAAATAGATGGGTGGAGAAAAAATAAGGAATAGTGAGTAAAAGAAAGAAATAATTGAAGAATGTAGATTGAGAAATGGATTCTATTAATAAAGACAAAAAAATAAAAATAAAAATACAGAGCAGTTTCAGGTATTATTTCTATCTCTCTTTTTTTTTTTCTTTTTTCTTTTTCTTGTCTTTGAGAATTACTATACTATTTTGTGAACTCGAGTGTTTATTTTACATGGATAAATCCGAATGGGTGCATTCATAATTTTTCTAAATCCAAATGTTGAGTTGTTTATTTCTTGCTTGAGTTCAAACTTCTATTGGTTTGCAACTCTTCCATACCAAAATCAAGCAAAAATTGTAGAACTTTAATACGAAAACGATATAAATAATATAGTTTAAACCTAGAGATTAAAGCAATATGAGATATGTTTTGAGAGTATTGTTTTGCAAGCAATAGAGGAGTATGGAGTGTGTAAGAAGCAATGTGACAATAATGGAAAAGCTAGGGTTTACTTTTTTTAAACTCAAAAGGTATACATTAAGATTTTTTTATTCTTAAAAGATATGTACAGAGAATTTTTTCATATAATATTATGGATGTTACTGGATGTTTGTTATGGTCATTTTTATTTAGGATATAATTATCATTAAATTAATATTTCATTAAGTGTGTGCCCTGAGCTAACTAGGTACGTGGAAATAGAATTTCCCCTAAGTATTTCAACCGCTAAACTTTTGGCCAAATAAAATTAAGATTTGGATTTATAAAGAGAAAATTAGTCTAAGGTCCTTATCCCATTTTTAGTAATGGAAGAGATCCACAACATTATTTTGTGATGTCTAAGGTCTCTCAACCCTGACACCCATTGTAACAACCCTCGTCACTGTTCACCGATGAACTACTGACTACTGTTAAACTGAACTGATTATGACTATTAAGTGAACTGAAGAAACTACTAAACTAACTGACTGAAAATGAAACTGAATTGACTGAGCATATCTGTTCAATTGTACGTCTATCTGTTTGATTGTTGGATTATCTGTTGGTGTTTTTATGTTTGAACTGCTAATTGAAGGCCTTATCGGCGGCCGAATTCGAAGCTAATTGATGTTCTACAATCGTTAGAATTAATGTGAAATTATGGTGTAATTATCTGAAAACTGATTAGGTATGATTAAATTAGATTAAATGGTACCAAATTACATGAATTGGACTTATTTACAATTAGACCACTTAGTGGCCACTACTTTGCACACCTTGTGACTTGTATACACAATTGAATCAACATTTCTTCTCCCATTTCCTGTGCACAACCGACCTTGAGAGAGAGAGAGAAAGAGAGAGAGTTAGTTTCATCTCATTTGGCTTGGTTTGCTTGGAAATTGAGTAGATTGGAAGGACTCTTGCATAATTGAAGCTCTAGACTTGCCTTTCAAGCTTTAGGTGAGGAATTCAACCTTTTGATGGTAGAATTAAGTTCATTCTTGCATGATTCATGCTTAATTGAAGAATGGAGTCAAGTTTTGGTCTTAAAG